ATTATCAATGAAAAGTAATTAGCTATTCCAAGTCCAAACCTGATTGTAACGCTCTCGCCCTCTGCCGGGGGATGACCGCGCCGCCGCCCTCCCGCTCCCCTCTCGTAGCGCCGTGCCGGCGTTTCGGGAGGCCCAGCCCCCAGCGCAGGGCGGCATCCAGCAGCCGCCGTTCTTTCTCGGTCTCGATTTCCAGTTCAAGCCCGTTTTCCTGGGCACGGTGCACCCCCGGAGCGAGCTGGGGGAACTGGTCCTTTGGGGACTACTTCAAGGTGAGGGGAACTGGCCCTTTGGGGACTACTTCAAGGTGAGGGGAACTGGCCCTTTGGGGACTACTTCAAGGTGAGGGGAACTGGCCCTTTGGGGACTACTTCAAGGTGAGGGGAACTGGCCCTTTGGGGACTACTTCAAGGTGAGGGGAACTGGCCCTTTGGGGACTACTTCAAGGTGAGGGGAACTGGCCCTTTGGGGACTACTTTAAGGTGAGGGGAGCTGGTCCTTTGGGGACTCCTTCAAGGTGAGGAGGTAGGAGCGAGCTCTGTGCAGGGGGAAGCGCGGCCTTTCTTTCAGAGCTGTGCTGTAGGGCCGTAGGGCTGCCTGCAGGAGGCCTTTGGGGAAGCTCCAGGTCGCTTTTTGGGAGCTCTGTGGCCTGGGGCAGAGCCGGTGTGCTGAATCCCGCAGCGTGCCCTGCAGGCTCAAAGCACTCAGCCTTTCAGAGCTGTGAGCAGCAGGTACCAATCAGTTCTCTGCAGAAAGTGGTGACCATTTAATTTGGTGAAAAAGGGTTTCCCAGTTCATCTGCTGCTTGTTCCTAAAAAGTTGGAGAAGGGAAGGATGAAGGATGCTAGTTTTTTTGCTAGGGAATACAGTTTTTCCTTGGAATGAAAATAATCCATCTAACTTTGCTGGTAAGCCCGTGGGTGTAGGCCATACAGCGATCCTGAGGGTCTCACAGCACTTTGGGAATGTCCCTTTTCCACAGGCATTGGAGAAAGGAAGGATAAAGGATGCTAGATTTTTTACTAGGGAATACAGTTTTTCCTTGGGAAGAAAAATAATCCATCTAACTGCTGGTAAGCCCGTGGGTGTAGGCCATGCAGCGATCCTGAAGGTCTCCCAGCGCTTCAGGAATGTCCCTTTTCCCCAGGCAGCAGTGAGCTGTCCCGCTCACCTGACCCTCATCCTGCTCTTTGCAACACACCTTAAAATTGGGAAGGGGAGCGAGCAGCTGCAGGGAACTCCTTTGGCGTTTGACTCCCATTCCAAAGAGCCTTCCTGCACCTTCCTGATTGACTGTGCTTTGTTTCTGGTCCCTCCCTCAGGAGGAGGCGTGTGGCATGGCCTGGGAGCTCTTGACAGAGGTCTATGAGATCCCCAGAGATCGCCTCTACGTCACTTATTTTGGGGGAGACTCCTCGTTGGGGCTGAGCGTCGATGAGGAGTGCAGGGACGTGTGGCTCCGCCTGGGGTAAGTGTGGTGGGGGAGAGGGGCTGAGCCGCGGGTGCCGACACATTTCAATCTCTGTAGGCTCCCATTTGCTCTTTAGTCGATGGGAATCCGGTGTAGGGGCCAAAATTGGGTGTTTTAAACTCGTTTCGTTTGTGCTTTGGGCTGTTTGAAGTCATCTGGGCTCCGAGTGCTCTGGGACGCTTGACCTTTGAGCTGTTTCTCAGGTATTATCAGTCGGGGAGGGGGGCTGTGTACCTAAGGCTGGTTGGTCTGGATGCAGTGTGTGAAGGATCTCTGATCCTTTGCTTCCTCTCCCTCCCGAGCTGTGGAGAGTAATCCCTCCTCTGAAAGCTGGAACCAGCCGCTTCGGTGTGGGGCTGAAGCCGTGGCAGAGAGCAGCGCTGCCTTTGGGAGCTTTCTTCGGGCTGGCTGTGGGCTTGGAGCCCAGGGCAGTCAGGCTCTGTGGCACTGTTGGTGATCAGCCTGTGGTGAGGTCAGAGCTCGGTTGGAATGCCCTCCAGGGAGGAAAGCAGCTCTACAAACCCCGTGGGGAGCGCGTCTCCGGCAGCGGGAGCCAGGCTGTGTGTTTGACAGCCCCTCTGGGCAGTGAGGAGGATCCTGTCTGGTGTTTGTCCCTGCTAAGGAGGGTAATTCTGTGTGACCAGAAGCAAAGGAATCCTGATGTGTTTGGTTATTGGGTCTGTAGGAGCCAGGAAGGATCCCTCCCTTCCACCCTCCTCTGTGATCTAGGCGACTGTGTGCTTTCTGTGGGCGCCCCAGCGCTGCCACCCCTGTTGTTTGCCTTTCCAGGGTGCCTGCCAGTCACCTGCTGCCTTTCCCCTCGAAGGACAACTTCTGGGAGATGGGGGACACGGGTCCCTGCGGTCCCTGCACGGAGATCCACTACGACCACGTGGGCGGTGGCAGAAATGCTGCGGCCCTGGTGAACCAGGGCAGCCCCGACGTGGTGGAGATCTGGAACCTGGTCTTCATGCAGTATAGCAGGTACCAGGCCTCTGGTGGGAACTCCGGAGCCTTTCCACCTGGCCTGGCGCCAAAATCATAGCTGGGCCTTCTCACACATCTCCCTGCTTTCCAGGAGGTGGCAGTACAAGAGGGAAGCTGGAGAGATGTGCCCAGTGTGGCTCTGGGTCCCCTTTGCTTTAGTTCTCCTGTCCTCCTTCGACCTCTGCTGCCTGTTCTTCCTCACTGCTGCCTTCCAGAGGCCTCTTGAGGTCTGCAGCAGCCCGGAGAAACTTGCAGAAGGAAGAGAAGTCCTTGGGCCCCCCTGTTCAGGGAGGGCCTTTTTCCCTGTGTTAGTCTGTCCTGACTTATCTGGTGGTGTCAGCTCCTGGCTGCCTGACACCACCAAGGCAGGCTGCTCTTCGTCTTGTCCCTGAGCTTCCTCTTGTTGGGTCGCCTGCCCTTTCCATCCCCTGGCACTCTCCCAGTCTCTTCGACTCCCCTGCACCTTTTCTTTGCCCCTGAACTGACCCTTGGTCCTTTTTTGCCTTTTGTTTTTCCTGGCTGGCTGGCAGAGAGGCGGAGGGGCATCTGCTTCCCTTGCCGCAGCACCACGTGGATACGGGAATGGGCCTGGAGAGGCTGGTGGCGGTTCTGCAGGCCAAACGCTCCAACTACGACACGGATCTCTTCGCTCCCATCCTGGAGGCCATTCGCAAGGTGACAGCGCTTCTGCTCGGAGTCACAGCTAAGCAAAAGCTCCTGGGAGGCAGACTGCTCGCCTGGTGCCATAGTACAGCCTTCCCCACTGTCACTGGGCAGTGTTTTGAGGCAGGAGGGATGGCCAGCCCGGTCCAGAGCAGCGCTCTAGGGAAACTGGGGAGAATTCCAGGTTGGAAATCCGCTGGGATATCGGCACTGCTGATGCATTTTTCCTCCAAAGCTTCTTAAATGCCTCAGTGCCAGGGCACTGGCTGCCCTGCCTTAGGTGTGGACGTCTTGGGCTGTAATGTTCTGGAAAGGTTTAATGAGTGAGGCTTAGATGCAAAAGGCTCAGAGGTGGTTGAGAAGCGTGATGTGAATGGGTAGCTGGCTGCCTCTTGCGTGGAAGCTCTTCCTTCTTGTCACGGGCTGAGGCTGGGCTGGCCACTAACACATGACAGACGCTCTCTGTTAACCCCTTTCCCCTCCCAAAAGGGAAAAGGAGAGAGAACAAGGGAGAGAGACTTTATGGTTTGGAAAAGAAAACTAAAACAGCTTTAATGAAACAATAACAATAAAAGAAAAGATAATAAGAGTAAGGAAATAATGAAATCTATACAATATGTACAAATAGATACAAACCCAATACTGAATCCAGTTCTCCCCACCCTGATGACGACACGTCCCCCC